ATCAAAGAAAAATGCTCTCAACCTTATATACTGCATCATTATTCCTCAGCCAATACCACTGTACAGCATCTCAGAAGAGGCAGTGCTCTGAGCCAAAGACCAAAACAAGATGCCTCTACTCTACAGATGACCTGCATTTGGTTTAAGCTGACCAGTTCCACCTTAGTGTTCCCCACCTACATCTAGGCTTTCAGCAAATCTCTCATCTTCCTGTTTTCTTTGACAAACCCTAAAAAGGCAACACTGCAGGATGTAGCAGAATATTAAAACACAGATTTCAATAGTAATGACTCAGGCTTAATGGCCTGCTGCAGAGCTCATATTCCTCCTGCAAGCTACCTCTACCCCTGCAGTTCACAGCTCTTAGAAGGCTGAATGGGTTTAGGAATCAATAGTGTATCCAAAAAGGAATACCTTGACTACAGAAGTCTAGAGAGGCTATTACAATTATTCCCGATTTTCAAGCAAAAAATAATCCCCAATATTGTTTACTGAAAACAGAGAGCCAGCGGTTTTCCACAATCTTTGGGAAAATTTCCACAGCCCCACTGCAGAATGCTGCTGTCCTAGGGAATGGCACACATGGGACCAGCACCACGCATGGACCTGAGTGGGCTCCACTCATATATGAGGTTATTCTCATATCTTAAAAGTTACATAGCATAAACCATGCCCTTGCAGAGCACACAGCAACCATGGCCAGTCCCTACACCCACAGTTGATTATAAAGCAGCATCATTCCTGCTTTATAACATAACTTATAATGTATAATCCCTACTTCATCCCTGTGACTAAGAAGCTCTGTTAAGTCATGGTATCTATTAGCATCAAAAAGGTTAATGTTAAGCTTTGTATATACCCAGATTGTTATTCATCACATGTATTTCCTACATGCAACCAAGTAGATACTTGACAGATCTTTTTCTCAGAAAGTGAACGCAATGCCTTGAAATTAAGTGGCAATATATTTGGCATTCTGACTCACATGCCATGATTAGAAATATTTCTAACTGTACAGCCACTGTAAATACAGCATTCACTCTACTGCTTTCATTGGTGCTGCTTAACCTACTCTAAGCATCACAGTTTAGTCTCCTGTTTAAACACAAGTTGAGTTTTCCCAGCAGTTGGGATCCAAGGCCAAGATGCTTTGCAGTCATATTTAACTGTAAGAGGTTAAATTCAATGCAGCAATTCAAGAGAAATGAATCCTTCTGAAAATGTACTCTGAACAAGCCAGTGTGTGCACTCATAGGGAACTTTACATATGTATCAATATGATCTGTTTGGGTCAGATAAATTCAGTAAACCTGCTGACTTCAGGCAAGACAGGCTCTAAATCTGAATGCTACTTTGAACAGAAAGAATGGTTGCAGAAATGGATGTGAATTTGTGCAAGTGGCCACACACAGTAATACCGGGCCTCCTCATAGAGGAAATCCTGGAATGCTGCTCTGCTCAGTCGGCCAGTTCCCAGCCTATTTAGCACACACTTCAGAACATGCAAGAACTCTTGAACTGGACTTCACTGGGGCTATCCAGAATAGCCCTGCAGCAGAAATTTCTTCTACAAGGGCATACTATTTTGGGGAGTATTTATAATTTCTTGCAACCTGGAATTGCTGGAAGTATCAGCTTCATTTCCTTTTTCCAAAATTCCTGAGCCCACCGCTGTGGAATGTGTCTGTTTGACAAAGGCAGTTTGATTTAGTAAGTAGATATAAAAATATGCGTGTCAGAAATATTCCTGGCAGCTGGAATCTCAACTGCAGAGCTCATTTAACTTTTTCCATACAGTGTGGAAAAATCACAGGTGTTAATAACTATGCTGATATAGGGGTTGTCATCCCCTAGGTCAGCAGGGTAAGCAAATCCACAAGGCCCACAAGGTCAGCAGCAGCTGGAATTCTCTTTTCAAGTAGCCATGTGCTCTATTTAGCATAGCTTAGCCTGAGCACTGCAGAAAGCAGCAGTGATCATTTTGGCTGGTGGTCATAGCAGCCCCAGTGTACTACATTCAAGAGAGCTTGTGTATCTCCTGAATGAAAGCACATGTTCAAGTGTACCATGGAAAACGACGAGTAAATTTTCAAACTAAATCAGTATTTTGCTAAGTTACTCAGGAAGGTGGTCTGCAGCGAGATTACTTCATATGCCCTGAAAAGAAACACAGAGCTCTTGAACAGGTTTCATAGGGGGTTGTCTTGGTTATGGACTTGGTTATAGCACTGCCCAGGTCTAATCATAAATGTCTCCATGAAAGTATGTCATTCTCCAATTTTCCTTACCTAATGGCCATTTACCCTATCATTGTCTGATTTCCACAGCACTATGCCCTGGGAAGCAATGTCCCACCGATTTTTCTGTTCCAAATTCTACACTGAGACTGGGAGGAAAAACTGGTACAGAGTAACTTGGCTGAAAATAACTGTGCTGGTAGCAGCGCACCTTCTGCCTTTTGAAGTGTACCTTAACAGAGGGAATGATCTGTTTTTAGAGCAGTTCTGTTTGGACACTGTGAGGCTGAGGTAGTGTTTACTACTTTGTTTCTGTCATGTTGAGGTGCCTCAGAAGCCTAAATTTCAGTGTAATCTGGAGAAAATCAGCCTGTACTGCAAACTCCAGGTTAGCTGCATTGCAGTTGGATGGGGATAATATTGTGGTACCACTGCTACAGGGAACTCTTGTAGCATAAACCAGCCAAGCTCCACCACCATCTGAACTGAGACCAGCAAAACTGAAAGCTTTGCAATCAACTGCTCTAGAGAGAACAAGGTAGAAAAACCAAGGAATAGAAACAATGGAGCTGGTAAGCAAATCTATAATCAGGCCAGACAGCACCCTGCACTTGCTCTTGTTTTTATAAAGGATTCCTGATCCTTAATTGAATCAGGTGAGGAGTGCTGCCTGATAACTGGGTCAGGGCCTCAAAATCTGGGGACTCTATTTTTCTCCAACACTGGGACTTTAGGCAATCTATTATTCATCCCTTGCATTCCTTTGCCTCAACTTTAAAATGTGAAATCACAACTAGGAAGAAACAGCATATGGAATCATTTTACACTAACAGTCCAATTGCACTTCTGCACTTCTAGGCAACATGGAGGCCCTCTGAAGCCTGTGGTCCTGCTGGGTGGCTGTGTTTTGTTTTTTTCTCCATTATCCACATGATCTGTTCTTAGTTCTACTTCGTGCAACATTATAAACATGTATTTTAATGTGGCTAACACCCACATTCAGGAAAGACATTTTTGAGCATAATGAGTTGCCTTAAACTTGTCCCATGCCCTTTTCAAGGTGACTATCACATTAGTCTGTATGTTCCTACTGCCTTATGACTACTACTAACTGTATGTTAGGAGACAGTGCAAGCTAACAATTGATAAATCCCACACCACAAAATTTCAACTTGACGTTTCACACTGGGGATGCAAATCAACTGCTTCTCATGAACCCTATGAAAACCTTGCTTTGTCTCTGCCTTGGACTGATGCTGAGATGAAACCCAACTGCTAGCAACCAAAATTTCTTGAAGATGGAATAAAATGGCAAGCCCTGTGTGGTGTGAGCAGAATACAGGCAGGTAACTGTGTCAGGGAACTGGACTTTTTCTGAGGCTTGCGTTTTGCAAGCAAACACCTTTCTTCTATCCAGCCAGCCTTGAAGGCACAAGCACTGTCTGGAATTCCTTCTGGGGACATGAAGCCAAACTATAGCAGAAACTGGGGAAGGAGAGGTGTAGCTTGTGAAAATGCCAGAAAGAGCTGAGGGAAATTCTAAGAATCAGAGCACACTTCAGCATGGTGAACTTCTCAAGAACACTGGCAGACAAGAGGTAGGAAGGAGATAGGAAAACGCAGTTTGGCAGATAGCTCAGCCCACACTCTCCTACACAACAGAGTCCTTCTGTAGAGGAGGCAAGTTTCAACTGTTACTGATACCAGCCTTAGTGGCTTGTCAGACAGGTTGACAGTTATGTGAAGGCTGCTGACAGAACAATTTCTTCTACAGCAACCTACAAAATTCTATTCCCCAAACTGCAGCAGGTTACAGAAGATCCTGCATGCCACAGCAACCACGTACTGATAGATCAAATGCTTCCACACACTCAGCATGCCTCTCTGTACAAACGTGGCAGACAGCATCCTTGTTTTTTAGACAACGGCAATTAAAAAGCCATGTTAAAAACATTTTCACTATAGCTCATGTTAGATTACATCTGGCTGAACCAAAACAAGCAGAATTACAATCTAGGTTTACAAAATACTAAGGAGAAGTATGAGTGAGGACCTGTGCTCAACCACAGCTGCTTCCCAAAAGCTACAAGACATGAATTAGTTGCTGCTGCTCTCTGCAGCCTAACTTGAGAGGATGGAGCTACAGATGAGCTGCAGCAGCAGGTCAGAATCAACCTCTACAGCAGGTCCGTACCTGGGATCTATAAACTGAAGTTAGCCATGCTCCAGTCAACTTCCCTTTATCATCCTCATAAATTATGGTAGGAAAAAATGAGCAAGTCTGATAACACTGAGCAATGAAAAAGCAGGTGATAAATAAAGATGCTGAAAATAAAGCTTGCAATCAAAATTAATGCATGCTTCAAAGCTGTTACCGAGATGTAGTAAGCAGTTAGTAACAATTAATAAAGTACTCATCTAAACCTAACAGGCTCTCCAATCCCACCTTCTCTTCAGTATATATATATATATATACCTCATGGTATACTCAGTTTTAGAGGTTCTTCCTCAGTCACCCTCAGAAGAGGCCCTGTGCTCCTCTACCCTTCTCCATGCATGTCCTGAACATAACATTAGACTCTGGGCTGTTTTGTGATGAGTTTTCCCTCCTCTCAGCTTCATGGGTTCTCCCAGTTCCAAGAGCTTAAAAAAAAATATCCCTTCTTGACAAGTTGGATGGGTTTTGTCAGAAGTGTCCATGGTCGCTCAGTTATTATGCTAAATGACACCGATCCAAAAATGGGAATTGAGGGAGACACTCTGAAATAGGCTGGAAAACCTCTGCTGTGGTACGGCCTGTAAGAAGACAGCTTTTTTAAGCATTTGTGTGTCTGCTAAATAATTTTTGCAGTCCCATATTTAAATGCTCTCTCTAAGAGCTAGAGTCTGCCCTGTGAGGAGTTCACTACAGCTGAAGTAGTGAAGGATATGATCAGTTTTCAGAGGGTGCTGTGACCTAGAGGCAGGTCTGATTACATCATTTGTTTTGGGTTGAGTCTCAGGAGCTTTATAAAAAGCAGTCCTAAAAGCAAGGAGAGACACAAGGGGAGAGACGAGCAGAAGCTCTTCTTCAGCAGCACCTCTGTATGCGTGCATTCTGCTACTTGCCACATACCTACAAGGGAGTTTCTTCAGACCGCAGAGGAACTTGTGAACTGTCAGAATATTATAAGTCTTTCCTTGAGATGTCAGCCAAGAGCTTCAGTGTAGTCACAGTTGCTGCTGTGCTTATTTTCTTCCTAAAGACACCAGTCTCAATGCAAGCTCCATTGAATGGTAAAGTCTTTCAGCTTTCTTTTTTATTGTTGCTTGTAACTTAGGGCAGCTACTGTATGCAGAAAACAGGCATCTACTATTACTATTTCAATAGCATGCTTAAAGTTGTATACTGTTGTAGACTGGAGTTGTTTGGAGTTGGTATCCTTGTTTCGATTTCTCATAATAGGTATTCTGATATATACAGGAAAAAGAAATTTGTCCTCTGATGTAGTTTGTGTTACAGACCTCTTGCATGCTCAGTGTGCCTTGCTTTGTGATCTTTCTGTTTCTCACAGAATGAAGCAGACTGGCCCTTCTCAGAGTAGTGGAAGCATCACACCTTTCCCTCTGCCCTCAGAGGAAAAATAATACAATCCCTGTGAAGCACCCCATATACTAGACCTCATTCTCTTATATTTAAGTTTCACAAGGTTAGCGTTCCTCGCTCTCTTTTTAAGAGCTAATGTTCATTTATTCAAGCAATTATAATCAATTTTAATCCATTCAAGCTAATTATAATCCACCTAGTTTGATTACAGGCTATAAGGGAGAATCATTGTAAAACGTTGTGTGAGAAGACTTACTCAGCATGTGTACTTATATGACAAAAATCCTGAAGGCTCAAGTGTAATCCAGAGCTGTCAGCTTCATGCAGAGCTGTGCCAAGACAAGAGTTCACTGGGGTTTTCACATGAGCTACAAGAGAGGTGTGATTCAGACTTCCAAGGAACCCTTCTTACTGTGAGCATATCTCCTCTGAAAAATGGCTACATTCTCTAGCAGAATCTCCCACCTGAAGGGCAGAGGTTCCTACACCTTGGAGCTCTCCAGAATAACAAATAAAGCTGGGTGCTTTCCAGGGGCTTTCCCTGACAACTCAAGATTCAGAAGGGAAAGATGCGTTGAAAAGATACATCTTACAATGCATGTTGAAGGGAATGCTGGAGAATCCCTATTTTAGAATTAAGAACCCCAGTACCAAGAAATGGCAAGAGCTATAGCATTTGCCTGTCCCTGACATCTTCCCAAGTCAGAAAAACAACTAACATAGATTATCACAACTAAACTAACATCACTTTCCCAGCAACCCAGTGACACTGGAAATGTATTGGTTCCCTGCAGGTTGATCGATGAAACACAGATACACTGTCTCTAGGAAATCTCTTCTGCCATGCAGAGATACGTAACTGTGTTACTCATCAGCACTCACCCTAACATGAACAAAAAGGCAGGAGAGTGGTTACAGGTACAGAGCTATTGATAGTTGTGATCCCTTTTAGATGTGAATCAGACATCTGTTGGCTCTCCTCCAAATCTGTGAGCCTGTGTGACAGTTTGCCTCATCCTCATTTCAGTATCAAGAAGAATAAGGGTAATGCAACCTTGTTCAGAGTCTGAGGATGGCAGCTCTACATGTTTATTCAGGCAAAATCAAGAAGATTCTGACATCTATTCATCTCCTGATCTGAGGTGGATGAAATAAGCATTAAATGTGCCTCAGCCCTACCTACGCTTGTTGCTGTTACTGAGCTCATCAGTAAAGTCACAATGGTAGTGAACTGCAGAGCATCAAAACGCTCTTAAGCTAAGGAAGATTTCACTTGGCAAAAGACTTGAAGCTTTCATTTATTTTTATTTCAATTGCCATAAATCCCCAAAATATTGAAAATATTTGAAATTGACTGTTTAAAGGTTGCTCTAGAATTTAAAAAAAATCATCGTTTTGACACTTTACACACATTTTAATGGGAAGTAGGACCACGAGCAAAGAGTAGCTGCTCTAGTTAAGCCACTGTGTTTTCAAACCTGGTTCAGCTGAGGATGTGGCAATTTCTAAAACCTGCTGACAGTCAGTTGCTTTCTCCATGCAAGTTTTACCTACAGAACATGCTGACCACTGGGCACAAGCACCCCAAAAACAAATCAGAGAGAAGGGGAGAGGAGAAGGAGGTTTCTCATCTTGAAATATAAGACAGTGCACAAATTCTTCTACATGAGGAACATGGGGATGTGAGCCAGGATGATTACACAGACCTCATTTTGAGAATTCCAGTGTAAAAGAACAAGACACACTGGTCCTAATGAACTGGAAATCAGAGAGCTCAGTGTCCCCAGCACCTATCACTACAAAAGAGCTAAGAGCAGATGTTTTGCACATCCCTATGAATTAATCCCAAATATTTCACATAACATTCTTTGAAGAAGAACTGTATCTGTGACCACACTCCAAAGTACCAGAAATGCAGCCAAGGATCACATACTGAGCAGACACGTGCATGTAAGGATAGATACCTGCCTGCCTGCATGCATACACACATGGGCACTCTGAGTGTTTGCAAGACCTGTAATTCAGGATTGTTTTCTAAGCAGAAATTAAATAGAATTTGCAGAGAGTAAAGATATCCATTATCCTGACAGCCAAAACTGTGCAGGTCTGTCAGGACAAGCACCTGCAATTACCCAGCAAGCTGAATGACTAGGTAGGTTTGAGGACCAGAAAAAAATAAAAGGAGCATTTAATAAGTCAAGACATTTCCAAAGACAAGCAAAGACACTGTCCCAAGTTCACTTCCTTAAACCATGGATGGGTACTGGTCATTTTAACACTCACTTCACCCCCCAGGATTCTCTGAGTTATATGGGTTCGTGGATCATACTCCCTTTCTTTGATGTACATCTATTCCTGTTTCAGCTGGCCAGTCCCAGAGCCCCTGTACAGAAATGGCTATAGCGACTGGAAGCCCACTGATGGTTTTTAAACTCCCCAACTAGGCATGAGGGGGATCATTATAGCTACACCCCATTTATATTCCTTAAGTTTCTTGACTGGAAAAATACCAGGGATGTGCCTACATACCGAGCCTGTGGCTATCCCACCAAAAAAAAACACCCAAAACCCACATCACCAGAAAGCCAACAGAAGTTTCACTCCAGCATTTAAGTAACCACAAGAAAGTCACCCCTATGGGCAGGAACACAGCGATAATTATAACTTGGGTGAGAAGTGTTCATGATCTTTGAAAGTGTCTGCGTTTTGCTCAACATTTGGGGACAGACAGTTCAAAGTATTGCAAAATTCAGTACATGGGTTTAAGTGGCAATTTGTTTCTTTGTAGACTAAGATCAATTTCAAATATTCATAGTAATATTTCCTTTGTCTTTAAACAGGGTCAAAATGGTCTTATATTGGTAAGTACAAACTAATTTGTTTGTAAGTAATGGCTTTGCTCTGTGTTTTAATGACAACATGCCAAATGTATTCTGGTGAGAACGTACTTGGTTCACTACCTTTATCCAGGTTTGGATCTGTCCCATTGTCTTGAAATCTGTTATTCAGCCATCAGGTTTCATATCTGGGTGACTGAGAGTCAGTTATAGCATTTTGAATTGCCTTACAAAGCAACAGGAACTGCAGCAGGAAAAGATTGGCTCCACAACTGCAGTAGCTCCCCAAAGGCCTCTCTATCCCCAGCAGTCACAGACTGGCAGCACATTTCAGCGTGGTTCTGCAGAGAACATACCTCTCCCTACCCAGATGGATCTTAATTTTTAAGTAGAATCAGAGTTCAGCAAATCACCTGTACTGCATTACTGGAGATTCAGCATCCTGAAAACCCCAGCACTCACAAGTAGGATAAATCATACTCAGGAAAGCAGTGCTATATTGTACAACAGTCCTTTCAGTCAGCTACTAACCCAGAAGGATCTGATGGCTGCTCAGGAAGAATTATCTAGAGATTTTCTTTCAAGTGATCAAATCATCTGGCCTGTTATTCCTCATTCAGAGTAGTGTTTTACATGCCCACAGAAATGTAGGCAGCACTGAGAATCTCAGCAAAAAATTCTTGTTCTTAAGCCTTTGGTGCTGCTCCAAGACAACACAAAGAACCTCTGAGGTTCAACTTGCTGCTAGTAACTACTCCCTTTGGCTGTGCTCCAGTTTACCTGACTTGCTTCACATAAGCAAAAGGAAAACTGTCAGCTGCCTGTCTATAGGTATTAATCTAAGTGCCAGTATGCATGCATACACTTCACATTCTCATTAGGAAAAAAGAAACCTTGACACAGTCTGAATAACAAAAGCCAGGGTTTTCCACCCTGCCAGCAGCCACCAGATGAACCTAACCCTGCTGGGTAGTAAGGAAAGCAAAACTTGCTTTACTACCATCAAAGTGAAAGTTTTGTCCTCCCTCCTAGGGTAACACTTATTTTAAATCAGTTACTTCTCCCTTTCCAGGACTTTGGGTACCAGTGTTTATTTCAGAGTATGCTATCCTCAGTGACCAACTTCATCAATTCCTGCTCTGACATAGGCTTGCTCTGTGTCCTCTGAGGGGCTGCTTCACCTTTTGTACAAACTGTATGAAGTGTATCATAGAAAGAATGTTATCTTAGTTAAAGAGCTAAAAGAGTTGTTCTGATGCCCGACAGCTCAGGAGAGCACATGTATGCAGCTTTTGGCAATGTCACTGTGTGGCTGGGAAGTGCAGGCCTGAAGAGAATTGGGAGAATTGGAGAGGTGGGCTTCAATTCTTTGGATTGTGGCTTTCTGCTTCTGTAATGTAAGAAGGCTGGAATGAAATGAAAGAGCCAGAATCACTCACTGAGAGTGGACAAGCAGCTACAATGGAGAAAACTAGCTTTACAGTCAAGTTTAAAGTAATAGTGCCAAAGGAATTACTAACATGCACACACACGTGCTACAACACAAACACAAGAATTGTTGGTACTAGATGTCAGGCTAACCGAACGTGCAAACTCTTTAGTTTTACTGTTGCCAAATATTCCAGTTCAGTGAGGTGCTGAGAACCTGTGCTAAGACCCCTCCACTTCCCCTTAGGAAATGCCAGCCTTAGCAAATACACCAGAACATGCCCAATATTTCCCATGCAGCACTTGAATGGAGTAGCAGAGACAGCTACAGCCCTTGGCAAGCCCTCTATTTCACAAGCTTCCCTCTGGACAAGCACAGGGAAGATATATACGTAGTGGCTATGAGTACACAGAATGATATAACTGAGCTCTGCCTGTGCTCTGAGCAAAATGTTCTTGCATGCAGCCATGTTACTGTGGCAGGGAGCCTGGACCCTCATCCTTCACTGCTAACTCAGCCCTGGGCTAACAGCATGTATACAGCTTTCAGCTGGCTGAGAACAGGGCAGAGCACTCTGCCTGCCTGCAAAAATACCACAGACATTTGTTCCCCACGTTACTGACCCAGAACATTTTACTACATTAGTTTAAAGAACTCGGACACTCAAGTGAGAAGCATGAGCAACATGAATATTCTTCTGCTCAAGCAAAGTCTGCTGGTAACACTGGTGTCTCATAGGCCTGTTTCCTTCTTTTTTAAAGTCAGCCAATGTATAAATCCTGGGAGCAGACACCACTGTTGTTCTTAGAGGAACATCTGTCCTGCATCACCCAGCAGTGCTAGGGCTTGTGGGGCTGGCTTCAAGCTTAGGCATGGGAAGCTAAAGGCTACGAAGGGAGGTAATCCAATGGATAGACGCAGCCATGGCTCCGAGAGTATTTTGCTCAGCTCACTGCACCTGGGCAGCAAGACTATCCAAAGAACTACCACTGCTTTATTTACAGACATCTCTTACAGAAACAGCCATGAGAGCACAGCCAGGCTCAGGGTTATTTACAGCATGACAGGGGCATGGGATCCTCAGAGCAGCAGACACCACCTGAGCTGCCTGGGTCTTTCCCTTTGTCACAGTTGTGATCACAAAAGGAAGAAATTAACTACTAAGATATTTTTGCAATGCTTCTTATGTTAATACCTTTTGAGACTTGTAGTACAGGCCAGTCTTAATACACTCACATGCTATTCTTTATTCACAGTGATCAGACAGAGTCTTTGTAAACGCAATGTGATTTCCACTGTATTTATTTGAATGTGCTGGCACAGAAAAAGGAAAATCTAGTTCACAATCAATCATTCATTTTCAACAGAGCCAGCTGAGAAATGCCTTCCAGCTGTGTGGTTTATCTACCATGGAAATCTCAATTTCACATATGCAAATCCAAGCTGCAGTGAGCTCAGCTCTTTTGAGACAGGAATTTTGTGGCACTGAAATCAGGAAGACTACATGACAAAAGGCAGAATTTCTAGGAAAACTGGTTTGTACCAAAAAAAGTTTTTTTTTTCTGTTTGGATTGGTTGTTGGGGTTTTTTTTTCAACTGAGCAGGAGTGAGAAACAAGCAAAAACTGCTGTAGTTTAGAGACCTGTGAATGGAGCAGCAGATTTATGTCAAGGAAAGGGTAACTGCTAGTAAGGGTCAAGGTACCTGAAGACTTCAGTAACTACAGCATTTTATAGAAAAGACAGAATTTTCCCCTCTCGACTGCTGATGTTGGTGTGGAAGTTCCCATACTCTGCTGCCAACTCCTAAGGGCATTCAATTCAGCAAAAGTGAGAGGTACTTCATGACATGGTTTCCACTGGCTGGGACTAGACTTCTATTTTATGCATCAGTTAAAAATTACCTATTTAATTATGAAGTCTCCAGACCTATGATATGTAGTACATATCTTCTTGCAAACTCACTATCTTAGCAGTGCACAGAAACCTCAAACCCTTTAAAATTTCTGAAGTCTTTCTATAACAAAGGCTTCTCACCAATTTTCCTGATGCTGCTGTAGCCTTGGCTTCTTGGAAAGTGTTGTATTTCTGTGTCATCGTCTTATACATCACGTTTCAACCTCAAGAAACCATAACTTTCTTGTATATCCTGATACGTATTTTCCTGGGAAATATTCTCAAGTATGTATATCCCATAGTACAGAATTCATGCTCCTCTGAATGGATCTGTTATTTGCCAAAAACATATGGAAAGGATAGAACACCATCTTCTACATTTGTTAGCTTTTAAAAAGAATTTCCATAACTTTAAGATAGTACCATGAAGATCTAAGAGGAGAGAAATTAATGTGATTGGTAGCAAAATGGAGTCCAAGATGTAAGTTAAAGCAATGTCAAGACCTGTTTACACTGAAAAGCACTGAGTCTGAGTATCCAGACTGCAAACAATGTCATGTACTCATCTATGTCTTGAATAATTTTAAAGAGCTTTAAGAAGGAAGTAAGTCTGCCGTTGAACTTAACTTGCCAGTTCTGTGACATGCACTAAGTCAGATTCACCTCCACTATCTATACCCTTGGAAACTGTTTTTCATACAAAAAAATGAGGCTCTAACAACATCTCCTGACTGATAATTTTCCTTCAGAAAAGATCTGAACTTGCTTTGCTACTGATGGCCCAATCTAACACAGATTCTGGCAGTCACAACTCATGGAAGATGTCATACTTCAAAGAAGCCACAAGAAATATTACAGGTTTGGAAAAGAAGCCTTCTAACCAAAGACTCAAGGAACTCAATCTATTTAGTTGAAGAGAAGTGAGAAACTATGTCCTCTATAAGTACTTCAATGAGAAACAAAAGTATGTTAACAGGAGGCTCTTCGATTTCTAAGAAAAGAACTAAAAGCAATCACTATCTAAATGAAGTCAAACCTAGACAAACTCACAGTGCAAAGCAAGTAATTATCCACTGGGCATTAATGAAATATCTTTTATCTGCAATGCTTAAAGGAAGAGTAGATGTTTTTTTCCCCTCAGAAGAATATGACTTCAGTGAAGCAGAAACTAATCCAGGGAGGTCCAATGGCCTGTGTTACACAGATTAGGCTGGGTGATCCCAAAAGACCTTCCTGCCTTAGGAAGAATCATGATGAATCTTCAGAGTCAAGTTGAAACACAAGTTGCAAGTATCTCTTCTTGTATTTAAATCCAAATGGTCTCAATTTAGAGCTGATGAACAGCTGCTAGCTATTAATGTGTAAGTAAATATAAGGCACAATTAAAAACCTCTTGATATTATCTATTCTTTGTAGTTCCTACCTAGGGCAGAAGACTGTGATGAAAGATTTCACCAGAGCTTGAGCAAGTTATTGCAGGTCAAATTATTGTAACACCTTCCATTTTCGCATGTTAGCTTTTCACTGCGTGTTATTCAGTGTTGCTAGATGTTCAGCTTGTATGGTAAGGAAAAGCCCATTCTGGTCTAGTTTTCTGTGCAGTGAAAAAGATGGAAACTTTCTTCTGTCAACATCAAGTCACTTCTTTCAGCAGTGCTCTTTTAAAGGCTGGCATTGCTGCATATGCCTGTTACTTCCATGGGGAAAAGTAATTCATGTCAGTAAATAATACAAATACTGCCACAGATCCAAACTCTACTTGTCATGCTTGTGCCTAAACAATTCAGAAAAGGCTGCTTTTCCAAATTCTGGGTGAAGGCTGAAACAGGGGAGGTTTTACATTAATTGCATGGTTAAGGCTTGACAAATGTGTCTTTTTGTTAATTTATACAGGTCCTGATGGAGAGAAGGCCTGGCCAAAGAAATACCCATTTTGTGGAGGAATATTCCAGTCACCAATAGATTTTCACAAAGATATTCTCCAGTATGATTCTAATCTCTTACCTTTAGAATTCATAGGCTATAATGTGTCCTCCACTGACCAGTTTACATTGATCAATAATGGTCATTCAGGTAAGGAAGCTCAATGACAGCATGGGATTGTGAAGGAAAGAGAGAAAAAGAGTTGCTGAAGCTTGTGATTTTTTTTATTTCATGGGTGAACTACTTTGCTTATGAGATGAAATTAAGCTGTAATGATGAAGGCTTTACATCAGCATACCTACATCTACAGAGCATTTTTTCTTCCTTCCTGAAACATTTGAAGACATAGAAATAAGAACAGTTATAAGACCCTCCTTCTTTGTACCCTCCTCTACTGCATAAGCATCAAAAGAACCTGTGTTATAAAATGGCCTCTACCTCTGCTCTTCTCTGGCACACTTGGTTGAAAGATACAACACACAAACATTGCTTTTTTTCTCACTCCTTCAGTGGGGTAAACCTGCTCTGTACACCACCATAAACCCATTCTTCAGTATGGGCCAACCTCTTAGGGCACAGTTACTGGTTTTCCTCTTGATCAATTTCTCCATCAAAACTAGGTTGCTCTAGACTAGGAATGGCTGGAACACCCTTTCCTTGTGAACCTTCTTTTCCTAAGAGCTTTTCTCAGTCCTGAGTAAAAGACTGGACTGTCACAGCTGAATGCATTAGGCTGATGTGACAGGCAATAGGCAGAGAAGGAAACATTCTCCTTGTGGACTTTAGCTGTGCCAGATAACAACTGGAGACAAAAGAATACTGAGAGGCTGTCCCTCACAGTCACACAGGTATAAGCATATTCCTCATACAGGCCTCTCATAAATCACTAACACTGTTAGATCTTCCCCCTAAGAAGTTCAACAGTTTCCTAATGTAAGCCAAAACTAAAATACATCACCCCCCTCAGTAAAAAGGGGAATTTACTTCTAAGGTCAATGCCCTAGAAAGCAGGGGACATGTGACCCATGCTAGTAACCTCACTCAGATACAAACCTGAATTGCTCTGAGTGATGAAAAATTAGCCTCTAAGTGATCATTGCCACATCTGCTGCTATATTCTCTTATGGCTAGAGAATAAATCAGTAAGGATACTTAGTACTGTGGTGATACCACATTCAATTCCTAGTTTTAAGAAAACAGAAAAAGGGTATAAATTCTCCTGAGTTACCTAGAAAGGGTTAAAGACAATTTGAAGTGTTTATCTCCTACCACAGACTGAGATGGATATGAGTGAAGAATCTGCTTTGTTCATATTCCATATGTAATATACTTAGACAAACATACATTTGCCCTGTGCTTGAAAGCTGTGGTATCATTTGCTTCCATTTGGTTTTGGTCTGCTTACAGTGAAAATGTACCTGTTGCCTACTATGTACATCAGAAACCTCCCGTTTGAATATACAGCATCTCAACTTCACCTCCACTGGGGAAACAGAAACAAGTCAGAAGGCTCAGAGCACACAGTCAGTGGGAAGCACTTTGCAGCAGAGGTAAGCCAGGCTCAGATCAGGGACAGAAACAAAGGCAGCTGGGCAGGTCCCACTGTCCCAAAGTGGGAACTGTAACTTGGGCATATGACTGTAAAAGCCATATACATGTAATCCAAGTATTTATGACCTGGGTATATACTAAGAAACACATTTTGCATTGCAAAAAAGGATGGACCCTGACATACTTTCCTGAATATGCCAAAAGTCAGGGAGTTAGAATTCAGGTTCTGAACTCAGGGCCAGCACTGGGTCACTTGAGTAATTTCAAGCAAATTGCTAGACACTCAACACCTTGGCTCTTCTCTGTAAACCGTGTGTACCTTTTAGCTGCATGACATTGCTTTTGCTTTTACTCACCTTCTTCTATTCAGTGAAGAACCATTTGTTCTTTACAATCCTAAATTATGGATTTGTGAAGAGATTTTGAAAAGCCATACCCATCAGGTATTTACCCCAAAATTATTAAAAGAGAAATCAGAATAATTTCATAGAATCATAGAATAGTTTGGGTCAGAAAGGACCTTAAGATCATCAAGTTCCAACCCCCCTGCCATGGGCAGGGACACGTCACACTAAACCATGCCACCCAAGGCTCTGTCCAACCTGGCTTTGAACACTGCCATGGTGGACCATACACAACTTCCCTGGGCAACCCATTTCAGTGCCTCACCACCCTTACAGTAAAGAACTTGCTCCTTATATCCAATCTAAACTTCCCCTGTTTAAGTTTTAACCCGTTACCCCTTGTCCTATCACTACAGTCCCTAATGAAGAGTCCCTCCCCAGCATCCCTATAGGCCCCCTTCAGATACTGGAGCTGCTCTGAGGTCTCCATGCAGCCTTCTCTTCTCCAGGCTGAACAGTCCCAACTTTCTCAGCCGATCTTCATATGGGAGGTGCTCCAGTCCCCTGATCATCCTCGTGGCCCTCCTCTGGACTTGTTCCCACAGTTCCATGTCCTTTTTATGTTGAGGACATCAGAACTGCACACAATACTCCAAGTGAATAATTTGCTTATTTGGAATAATCCATTTCTTCTCTAGTTACATTTAACCCCAGGTTTTGCATTCTAAACACTGGAGAAGCCCAAGAGTGCCAAGCTGTTACTTGTTCGGAAGAATTCCCTAGTACTGCAGTCAAGATGCCTTGAAACTGAAGTGACTGATCCTCTTTCTCCCCCTGCCCAGTATGTAGAGGAGGGGGGGTGTAACTCAGCTGCAGCAGGGCTGGGAGTGGGAGTTCCAGAACCTTCTGCCTTTCTCTAAAAAGATCTTACCATGACACCCAGAAAGTAGTGAAGGATCACATTCTATTGTCTTAGCCTGAGATGGCTGCACTGGTCCTTTTTAGCTGTGAAACAGAAATGTGAGCGTGCCCCAGATGTCACCATAACATACTATCTTCTTACTTGTAGCTGCATATTGTACATTATAACTCTGAGAAATATCCAGATGTAACAGCAGCGATGGACAAAGCAGATGGACTGGCAGTTTTGGCTGTTCTTTTTGAGGTAGGATCAGGACCTTTTTTTATTTGGCTTAGAATATACTTTCCATCATTAAACCATCAGAGAGACCTCTAATGTACGAATTTCCTAGATTATTTAACAGTGCTGTGGCTAAATCAAGCCTCTTCCTTTTCCCTTTCAGAAAAGGGCCAGATTCCAGCAGCACATACATAAACAGGAATAAATTTTAAGAAAAGAGGGATTCTGAATATTTCCTCATGTTTTTCAGTACCTTATCTTCAGCTATGTTACATCAATCTTTGCATTTACTTACAAATTAAGGATTAGTAGAGTCTGTCAAACAACAGTGGATTTCAATTACTGAAAAGTTGCCTATTGTAGGACAAAGCAGTTTTAAGACAGCAGACACAGGCAGACACAACCCAGGCTTTGGCCACTATATGTAATTAGGATTTGACCACAGTCTTCAGGTTGCAAACTTCCCAGATTCTTTGAATCACATATTACAGTAAACAAGAACATTCAGTGCCCTTTTTAAGATCATGGAAGGACAGCTTTCTAAAATTCTCCACTAAAGCCCCACATAAAGGCAATTAAAGAGATTAATGATCTGAAAGAAAAACTTTTAGAAGCTTGTATATATATATAATTCTCCTTTTTCTTGAGGATTAAAACTTCTCAATAAGATAACTAAGAACTAAGATTACATATTTTCATGAAAACCATGAAAGTGTCCAGTTAGCAGACAAAGCCTTAATTCTCCAATTCTTACTATTATCCAAGCTCACTTCCTAGCAGCTCTAAGACTTTGGCCTATTTTCTGTTAAATTTCAGCTCATTTGGAAGTTGCAGCTGTGAAAAGTGTCAGAGTATTGTGTATTATGCTAGGGAATAATACTGGGATTCTGCTTATAGCTAAGTAATAGTGTTTAAAAATCAAATAGGGGAACAATGGAGATTAGATCTTTGAAAAGCTTTCAGACAGCTGGTGGCCATTACAGTTGATCTAAGGACACCAGTATACTATGTCATCAGAGGAACTGCTAAGCACCAGCTCTAAAGGATTAATAAAAAAAGGCATTGATTATTAGACTGAAAAGCTGCTGGTAGCAGTTGAAAAGCATGGTCTTGTTTGGTAGTTGAGTTACAGCCCTTGCCAGTGGCTCTGCAATAACCAACAGTGTCATTCTTTATCTTACTGAACTATGAGGAGCAGCAGACTAAAAAATGTTTGTGGGTGGAAAAATGTGGCTTTGACTAGAAACCACTAGATGATCCAAGAAATCTGTCAGTTGAGAACTTATGCCTGCAGTGTTCTCAGAGAAACTGGTTTCTCCTCATTTGCATTGCATGCTGAACAGGCAAGGGCAATAGGGCCTTTCAAGCACACACAAGAGGTCTACAGTGCACCTAAGATAGTATTATAACAAAGAAGCTCTAATAGCTCTCTGGAGTAAGAGCATTATTGGGGTTCTGAGGGTAGTGTTAATGTTTCGCATAAGAAAAGTACTTATGCCATTCTAGTTTATGAGTACCTGGATAGTTGAGACACCTGCCTTATGATAGAGGCCGTCAAATACTACTGCCTGCTGTGTGCAGAACCAGACTCATATTCAGCCTGCAGTGATTTGCACAGCTGTTAATAATCTGTTCATTACAGATTGGGCCCTTCAACCCATCCTATGAAAAGATCTTCAGGCACTTCTGGAATGTGAAATACAAGGGTGAGTGGCTAATAGCCTGCAATGGATTTAGAATGGCCAAGAGTATCAGATGTCACCCTGAGAGGAATTGAACTACCTGACGAAGCAGCCCAGAAATCGAAATTCCAGGCCAATCTCTCACAAACTGTGAAAGACTTAAAAACACAGTGCATTTCTGTGAAGAGTGTAGGGCTAACACACATCATGTGTTTCTGACTGGGTCTTATTTCTTGCACATCGTGTTATTTGGTTAAAATGGCCACTCTTCATCTTACAGAATTCTGATTTGGAATCTAAGACATGATGTGTACAGAGGAAACCTAGAAAGCTGTATTCCTGATTAAACTGGGATCATCTCTGTTAAAATGTATTTTTCTTTTCCTACTGATATGACTGAAAGCATCGTACTTATTGAAAAGCAAATTCACTTCACTGGTGCGCTACCTGTGTAGTAACAATGCAGCATTTAACATGAATCCCCTATTTTAGATCAGATGGTCCAAGTCCCTGGTTTCAATATCCGAGAACTGCTTCCTGACAGACTGGATGAGTACTATCGCTATGAAGGATCCCTGACAACTCCTCCCTGCTACCCTAGCGTTCTCTGGACAGTTTTCCGACACCCCGTTAAAATTTCACATGAGCAGGCAAGTTTAAACCCAGCACATGTTCTCCTGAGTGGTGTCTGCCCAACAACAGTCAACACACATTCCCATTTCCTGGATTTCTCTTACATTCCTGTAAAACTGAAATATGATCATTCCCCTCCTCCTTGGCAGAGCATGAGACTCACAAATCCTTTAAGTGAGAAGAGTAGCACAGAACTGACACAAATCACTACCCTGTTCTGTTTGCAGTTAGCAGTTTTCAGTTGACCAGAATAAAGGACAGACAACTGCATACAGTATACTGTAGTATAGTATATCAGCTTGAAAAAAATCACAGTCAAGTGAGATTAATTTCTGTTTTCACCATGTCCTTATTCCCCGTCACACATTCCATAAGTCACTTACAGCTTTTTATCCAGGTTTCAAGTCTGAACCCTATTCCCATGGTATTTCAGTGCTACTTTGATCTTGACTGACATAGGCATGACTGATTGGCTAGATGTTAAGTTTCTCAAAGGCATGTGATAAGTCATTTGTCAATTCTGAATCTCCTAGCTTTTCTCCAACTTACCTTTCTGTGCTCTCCCGATTAACTTCTTTTGTTCTTACGTGGCCACTTCCATAGACTATAAATTGCCAATCATTATCGTCTGATTCCCCTCATTATAAACAAAGGAAGAACATGTTATGATTAAAATTTCTGGTTAAATTACTGTATGCTCCTTGTTATGAAAGTCCATTCTAACTATGTCCACTTGTCATGGCTTAAGCCCAGCCGGTAACTCAGAACCACACAGCCGCTCACTCACTCCCCCCATTTCTTCCTGCACCCCGCTCCTGGATGGATGGGGAGGAGAATCAAAAGAATGTAACTCCCACTAGTTAAGATAAGAGCAGTCCAGTAACTAAGGTATAACACTAACCACTACTGCTACCACCAATAATAATAATGATAAGGGAAATAACAAGGGAAGAGAATATAACCGCTCACCACGGGCCAACCAATACCACCAGCCTGACACAAGCAGCAATCTAGCCCTCCTGGGTAACTCCCTGCAGTTTATATACTGGCCATGACATGCTGTGGTATGGAATACCTCTGGCTTCTTTGGGTCAGGTGTCCTGTCTCTGCTTCCTCCCAGCTTCCCCTCTTCCTTGGCAGAGCATGAGACTCACAAAGTCCTTGGTCAGACTAAAAGTTACTGAGCAACAACTGAAAACATCGGTGTTATCAGCACTGTTCCCAGGCTGAAAGTCAAAAACACAGCGCTGCATCAGCTACTAAGAAAGAGAAAAATGACTGCTGCTGCTGAACTCAGGACACCACTCTGTCAGGTCATGTCTTTACCAAAGTAGAGAATTCCTTCATAAAGTAGCTTCTAGGACTGCTAAGGAGTTAGACTGTGCTAGGGAGAACATTGTTGCATGTTTCCCCACCATGCAGTTTTCCTGGCAGATAATTACTAAGCAGGATTACCAGGATGTAAACAAAATACAGGTATGAGTTTGGAGATACCACACTGTTTACATATCGTTCTGTATTTGGCCTCACAGCCCACACATGGCTTAAGTATTACTTATTGTACCCTCTTCCCTTTGATTACCCCTTTGATTTCAAACATACACTCTCAGTGATCGTACATTAGCATTGCTTTTTCTGTATTCTGGGAGCTGAACAGGGTGTTTCTCTTTTTAGTTACTGGCATTGGAAACAGCCATGTACTGCACAGAAAGTGATGACCCAGAACCCCTGGAAATGGTCGATAACTTCCGGAAAGTTCAGGAATTCCACGAAAGACTGGTGTTTATCTCATTCCGTGAAGGTGAGTTGTATGAATGCTTTTGTGAAAAGAAACAGTGCACAGTGGTTTGTGTAAACCTGAAACACTGAAGTGGCAGTCCTGTTGCGCCATATCAGTACAAAATCACAGCAATCTTATTTCCCCACAGTTCACTTGGTTGGCTTTTCTTCTCTTACTGCAATGTTGCATGGCCAACTGTACAAGAATTAGGTATTCAGAGTATATAAGAAGGTTTTTTTCCACAATGGTATCAGGCAAGCCCTGCAACCCTTCTGATCAAAGGTGAGGAGATAAAAGACCAAAGACGTGTTTGGCCTTGTCATGCTTAGCAGAAATATCTGCTGTCACCCCAAACACTAAACAGTTCTCCGTTCAGTGAGACTGAACTTCACTGAGCTGTTTCAGTCAGTGTACCTGCTTGAGCTGACCTTGTCTCACCAGTGACATTTGCTGGTTCTCAGCAACTTCAGGATTGTTTTTATGCAGATTCAAAGCGAATCACAACTTTGCCTTTCAGGGAGACTATGTTTTGGGGAAATTACACAGAATCAGAAGAGGCCAGTGAGGAATTAAAACTTGACAAATTAAAACAATTCATAACACTGGATTGTATGTTCTAGTGTTACATATGCAAAAAGATTTGCCATCTTACAAGGAAAACTGATTTAAAGGCTTAATTATGCAGTGTGACACAATGACAATGCATAGGGGTTTTTCTGGGGGGCGGGGTGTGTGCACAAAATCCTGCATCTGTAGCGAGAAGCTCAGCTGTGCTCCACAGTAAGGCATCTGAGCATATTGTATGTGCCAAATGTATTGTTCCAATTTCTGTGTTGCCTTGCAAACGAATACTCTTAAGCAGTTGTGAAGCTGGCACATACTCTAAAGCACATGGATTTAGGCAAGCCACTAGGCTATTTGAAACACAGAATAAAAGATTTTTAAGAGAAAAAGCATACTTTATAAAAATGATTGGCCAAGCAGTAAACTTTCAAATTAATACAATGTGTTAGCACATCAGTTCAACTTTGCCTGCTAGGTTCTTCACTGTTTAGATGAAAGAACAGAAAACACAGACAGTCCCTTTCATAATACATCTTTTCTAATACAAAGCTATAAAGGAGAAAAGTGAAAATTAGAGATCAGCCAAAACAAATATCCCAGACAAACCATTTCTCTGAAATCGGAGATGATTTACATCTGTCACCAAAAGTTGCCTGGTTTCTTTGCCTGATTAGCTGCAACAGAACTCCCAAGGAGAGCGGTGTGGAGCTTCAGAAGCATTGGGCCGTTATTTGAAGCAACTCTGAAGCAAATTAGAGATAAAACCCAGAGACAATTTCATTCTGTGGCTGGGGCCATTTCAATTCTCATGGAAACATTTTTTAATCTTTCTGAAGATTCCCATAAGAGGAACATAATTTTACCATGAAGTTTATTTTGAGTGCCTTCTCTGGAATTACTGCACATCAGTAGGTATGATGATGCTACTGCCCTTGATACTTAAGCATGCTTCCCTCACTGAGCTGTAATGTTTTAGATCTTCATTTCTCTGTCTTTTTACTGGAGTGAAAAATAGTTAACAGTTCAGAGCTGACTGACTATGTGGCTTGAACCACAAGCCATGAATTCCCATTCTCCAGCTCTGCATTAAATCTCTGTATAATCTCTGTATATTCCATTACCTGCAGAGCTCCAGTGACAAAGGCTACACCCCATTAACTGCTGCATCTCCTGACTTTCGTTTTACAAACCATTCTATCTGCAGTCAACATGGTGGGTCCTCAGGAGAAGCATTACGGACCAGATGTATAAAGAGCAGGCTACGGTGCTGCTAAAGGCAATGTACAGTTACATTGCCTTTGGGGGATCCAATTCAGGGATCCAAATTCAGGGATACAAAATACCTCAGTTTCTCACTTCTGTACACTCAGCAGAAAGCTAGTCAATAGAAAAGCTACTATTTTAACTTGCAGTACAGGAGCAGGAGCAATGATTTAAGAATTTAAGAAGACATGGGATACTTCCCAGTTTTGAGGTGCAGAGAAACAGCATAATCATAGAATAGTCTGGGCTGGAAGGGACCTTAAAGCTCATCTAGTTCCAAGCCCCTGCCATAGGTAGGGATACCTTCCACTAGACCACATGTTTAACATAAGATTCAGAAGCTGAGGATGTTACACCTTACGAGTGAAGTCCTCACTGTATGACTTCATTTTTACTGAGCATCTTGAAAAGTGCTCAGGTTCTCAAGGACCCTCCTGTCTGTACAGAGTTTGTAAACATAGGCCTAGAAAACCAACTTTCCCCCAAAATTGCTGAGCAGTTTTCATCTGTCATCCTCATTCTGGAAGCTAAGAATGAGTTAATTCCAGATACCTCAAAAAAAGGGCCCCAAGCCTGTTGAGACTCCAGTGCTCTGTAAGTATCCACACTAGATCTTTTAAGTCAAGCAGCTGAAGCATTTTTCTGCTTTCATTGTAATTTCTCCATTTACTTCTTGCCTATTTGCTGCCAAAGGTATCTTACCATCTTTCCCATTCCTAACAGCAGATAGCTAAATATTTAAGTCTAAACTAGTTTAGTTTAGTTATATCTGTCTCCTATTTAAAGCTACCATTTCTGCTCTTGAATTACTGCTGAGAGAAGTTACTCTCATCAGCCACCTCTTTTCTCATTTTAATTTGTTTAATGTTTGGAGCCCAGAAAACTATTTGTTTGTATTACGCTGGTAACAAGAGAAAACCTTGTTTCTTGACTGTAATACGACTGCATTAGACAGAAGTTAATTCTCTGACTATAACATCACACTTGGGATTTTGCTGGTCCTGTTTCTTGATTTCTCATTGTATACTATATAATGCCACAGTTTTACTTTTCTATTCTATCTTCATGCCTCTTACCAAGTCCCAAGTCTGCCACTTGCAGAGAATAATGGTTATAGAACAATGCCTCAATTTAATGTCATTTTAAAATGAGAACTACACTAGTAGTTCTCTTGTTGCTGATTCTAACCAAAATACATAAGAAAATTGCAAGTTTACCAAATCATCAACAACGCTTAATAGTTCCATGACAAACTGCTATTAGTTGCAGAAAAGGTATTCTGGGTAAAGAGTGAAAAAGGTGAAGAACCAGAGCATGCCAGTCCTTCAGCTTTTGTGAACTGGACAACTAGAAATACCTCTCTCCCCCATGGCATTCTTATATGACCAGGAATAGGGTTAAAACTTTTCCCTCAAGCCCCCCCATCTCAAACACTGGCTGCCACCTAGACAATTAGTTGGGTCCAGAACAGCAATTTTTGTAACTCCCTTCAAATCTCTGCTCAAGTTAGATTATGTACAATGATTGTAAACAGCGGAACTGGGATTTGTAATATGGCTGCTAAGTTTCTGAGACTACAAGGCTTCCTCCGTAGGGTCCTTCTTAAATCCATGTGCAAACAATCCAGCATGGCAATGATGCTACAGAAACACGGAAGTAACAGAAGTTCTGGGGTGAGCAGCTCCCTCATGTTTAAGACCAGTTCACCATGAAATCCCAGAGACCGAACTTATGCTTTTTTAGCCTCCCAATTTATCAAGAATCAATACCTGGTGGACTTGGCAAGGGTCTGTTGCTGATTGCTAACAGCACCTATGAGCCAGTGATTTTTCTGGTCAATCAGAAGTGAGAAATGCCATTTTCCATCTGTTTCTTAAGCTGACCTTTCCGCACCTGACTACTCTCTCTCTGTAAATCACACTCAATATTTAAAAGGTAGAGAGTTAGAATCCATGATCCCAGTAACTGAAAATCAGATACTGTGCTTTTCATCCATGAATCTCTAAACACTTCACAGAAATAGTATCAGCATTATTATTTCCATCTATGGCAGAAAATTTGACCCAGATGTGACTTTCTCAAAACTGGTGCTGTCAACCAGCACCAAACCCAAGAATACACTTTGGCTCTCCCTCTGCTAAGCCACATCATTTGGCTCCCATGCAGAGGTGACACCAGCTACAAAGACATTTTCAACATATCTTTAAAGCTGGCATGCCTTACCAGAGTTGTATTATCTGGGTTATTGCCCATCCTGCTGTTCTCACCCAAGAACTGGCCTCTACAGATACAAAAGGCATTGCTCAGTGCTACTTTACTAGAAGCCTCATTCAATCTAAGTACATTTAATTACAAAAGCTCATTGACTCTGTCAGTGAACCATAGAAAAATGTTCTACCCACTTCAAAAAACATATTCATCACCCCTGTAATCTCACATTCCACCAGCCAGGGTCACAAAGGCTCCCTCACAGGTGCAGCCCCTCACCCCAAGGGAAAAACAAACCAAAACAAGAACAAAAATGAGAAAACTAAGGGTCCTGTCAAAGCACAATTAAAGTGCACCTGGTTGCTGCTGGAAATGCACAGGCTGATGCAACCACAGGCAGGAACAGAGCAGAAGGAGAGGCCATACCTAATATCATGGTTTGGACCATGCAACCAGACATTTGTGAATGAAATCCTGTCGTGCACATGCTAGGCCCCTGATAAAGCAAGTTCTCAGCGCAACTTTTGTGCCTTTTTAGTTTTAAGACCGAGAGCTGCCATCTTCACCTGAGCACAGATGCCACGAGATGGGGCCACTGAGCTGTGCTGTGCGTCAAAAACGCAACCCAAGGGTTCGGACATCCACACTTTGATGCCGATTAAAATCTAAATTCATGCTCACTGTTAACAAGTACCACATTTCGAAATGTCTCTAATCTTAACGGATTACTCAGCAAAACTTACATGTGCTTATAATGTCTCTTGCCTGTCAGCAGTCTATTCCAATAAAATCAGCTTCACATGTGTGCAGCTGAAATTTATTAGGATGCTCAAACCTTCCACTGCCCACAAGTTAAATGGGAACTGGTGTCTCGTTTTGATTACAGCACCATGCTGAAATACTATCTAACTACACTTTACAAGAAGGTCTTCTCATCAGAAAGAAATGCCCCCTACCCTTCCTCTTCAAACTAAAAGCTTTTTTCTACAATTATCTATTTGGTGGTTTATTTTGTTGCCCATTTGACCTGCCTTTACTATTAAAAAAACCTACCCTTTTTTAAAACACAGTTTTTCTTCACCTGTATGGTTTGCAAGTTTCTGCTATGCAGTTGTACTTAAAATTAATAAAGCATCTAATGTGTAAAATAAGGTTAAACTCCAGGTATTACATTTCTGTTTCCTCAACAGCTGATTTAGTAAGAGGAAATATTTACATGGTATACATGAAACCTCTCAGCTTCACTCTGAAAAGGTCCTGATGTTGCTTAGAAAAAAAACAGGCATTTGATAAAATATACAAACAGTGGGTGAAGGAATTATGAAAAGGCAGTTAAGAAAAGAGTGCTCACCTTCAGGACCTTCGGGAAGGCCAAAATCAGTATTGCCAAAAATATATATCAAAGACAGCATTACTGTGATAAAGCTTAACATGTCAAGGCAAACATGAGATCACTCAGTTCTTCGTGCTAATAGCTGAATTCATTCTTACCTTCTTAGATGCCTTCAAGCAATGTTCTCAATAGCAAAGCATATCACTCTTCAGCTGTCCACATTCAACAGTGTTCTTCTGCCTTGAAAAAAAAAAAAGGCATCAAATTTAACATTCTCTGTGCCTCGGATTTAGTTCTTCAGTTTTGCTTATGCTCTCGTCTACATGAGAGCATTGAAATCCACAGAGTTTCTGATTCGCTATGCCTGTGCCTGCATGCTGGCTTTGTGCCTTTGGTGGGTATCTAAATTCACAGCATTGTGAACTGTGGATACAGCTGTGGGCTCAGGACTTTCCAATATGCATCTATGCAAAGTTATCCATTCCGTAACTGCAAAGTGGTATGAGCAGGCTGCAGGGAAGTTGCAGATGCAGAATGCAAATGTTATGACAGATCAGAAACTAACCTCACAAGTGAATAAAGTTAACAGGTTTGTATGCTTTCCCTCCTTTCCTAGGTTTTGTTGTTTCTGTTATGGTAGCCTGCGTTCTGGGAGTGCTCATCATTCTTGCAGTAGCCTTCTGCCTACTGAAGAGGAAAAGGTAAGATGTCTGGCTGTCACATCACAGGAACAGAATCAAACCAAATTTTGTTTCTTACACAAAGAAGTGTGTTCAAAACCTTGCAAATTTTTTATAGTGGTTGATGTTTTATAAGATACGATCCCTTCCTAAGAGCTTTGATTTGTTTTTTATTTCTCCTGTATCATATATTCCAGAGCAACTCTATTTGATTGCTATCAAAATATTTTTATATGGCTAAAAGGCCTCTACTTGCTGCAACCTTCATTGCCACAGTGGCCACCATTCTGCCATTGTAGGAGCAGTAGTGTTTTGTGAAAAGCAACCATATTAAGGCCTTTTTTCCACAAAATAATAATTACTGGAACAGTGCTTATGTAAACCCTTAAAGATACAAGGTCAGGAAACAGGGAATTGTATGTGAGTACTGGGGAGAACACAAAATGACTTTCCAGTCTAGGTACTGACTGTTCCCACAAGTTAGGAAATGAGACTCCCCTTCCAGACAGAGCAGAACAAGCATGCTGAGTCGGTAACAAACTTACCCCGTTCTTCTGTTTCTCAATTGCCATTTGTTATTTTTCTTGTTCTTTTTGCTAGCACGGCTGCTCCTAATTGCTTTTTGAATCCTTTCTTCCTAGAACAGTAAGCAAAACAAGAGGGGAATGGAGTTTTAGGAAAAAAACACCTCTCCCAAAGGTCACATCATTTAAGGGGAAGAAATCTGTACTGACAAGAGATCATTTAGCAGAGTGCCACCAAAGCCAAACTCTGGGGAAAAAGACTAAGATTACAAACATTCCTACAGCCTGATCCCTTTGTGATCAGCATTGACTCTGCCTCACAGAATGCATTCTTCTGAAATATTTGTAATAACAAGTTACATTTGCACCAGTACAGAAGAAAAAAATCTCATGCGTGTATGATGGGCCATTTTAAGTAACTAATGGTGCTTTTCCTTCACTGGAATTACAAGTATTGAATATATTTGTTTTATTTTAGCTGCAAAAAGGAAGGCAAATGCAACAGAGGAGTCATCTACAAACCAGGCACACACAAGGAGGAAGAAGATATCTCCAAACTTTGATGCCCTACTCTGTCCCAGAAGACCCTTTTCATTCATAGCACTGATTTACTTTGTGCTGTTGGAACATCTCTCTTGTTCTTGGCTAATGACAGGCCCCTAGAGTGTTCTAAAAATGTACCAGCCACAAGTTTTCTGTATCCCTTGTGCTCTTGTTTTCCAGGGAGATAGGATCAGTGAATACTCCTGAGCTGAATTCCTCACAACATGCTTACTGAGTCCTGGTCTTTTAACTGATTCCACAGTTAATCTTAAACTCCAATGTTATGGTTTGCTTAGCACAGATTTTTTCACAGGTGTTCAAATCTGAAGACACTTAACCCAGCTACAAGCTCTCTTCCCTGCTGAATCAGGGACTGGCTATAGCATCATGAGTATAAAGATAAAGGACAATGTGCATTGGAGATCAGAATTTGAACTCAGTTTTTAAAATCACAGCAAATGATGTTAGTACATTCACCATTGGCTTTGTAACAGAAATACTAGAGGAAAAGACAAGTGTAAATGCAATGAGAGCCACATGGATTGTTAATGGCATTTAAACCCAGGAACTCAGTGCTGAAAAAAAACACTACTGCCAGAGGAACAGCTCAGTTTTCAGTTATTCTACAGCTCACAAACCTGCTATGGAGGTCAGCCACTGGAATTAGAGAAGCATGTTCATGTCTTACTCTGCTCTTATTTATAGTGTGTGTATGAATGACGTGGAGATAATGCAGCTGCTGTCACTTCTAAGCAGACAAGCCATTTAATCATGAAATATCAACTGATTTTAGAATACACAGAATCATAGAACAGTTAGGGTTGGAAAGGACCTTAAGATCATCTAGTTCCAACCCCCCTGCCATGGGCAGGGACAGCTCACACTAAACCATGCCACCCAAGGCTTCGTCCAAAATATATATTACAATTGCAATTATACAGTAGATGATTTCACTGATTTTGTTCTTTGAATTGAGTATTAGAAAGTAATCAACATTATTTTTTCAAATCTCATGAGTCTTATTATGCATTTTTGAAAGTGAAAAGCATAAACCTTCTGTTTCTACTGAAGCAAATGAGAAATGTCATTGACTTCAGGAAGAATAGTATTTAGCCAACCTAACCCCAGATGCATACAGAATTCCTCTTGAATTTGACATCTGAAATGAGCGTCTGTCATGCTTGTACTTCAGTACACAGGCAGGGATTGAGAACAGGCTTATACCTAAAATAACTTCAGGTCTGAATGCTGCTGAACACCACCTGGGAAGTTCTAAGCCAAACTTTACACTAAGATCTGTTCTACACTGAGTAGCATCAGCATGTATGTGATTTAAAATAAATAAGTTAATATTGTATGTGTATTCTCTTTTACAGATGGTAGATGCACACTTATGTTTTAGATTCTTCCCCTTCTACCTCTAAGAAAACTGCTTCATGTAAAGAGCAAGCTTTTGAGTGAAAGGAGAAATAACTCATTACTACTTACTGTACATGAAATTTAGAAGCAAGAAATTTAGAAGCAGAAATTTAATCTTACAACTAATTACATTGCATTTGCCACAATTTTTATCTTGCACAAACAAGCACATAAAGATCATCTTGCTGAAATGTTTGAAATTTACTTAAAAAGCACCATTTGTGCACTCTGGGGAACATTTACTCTTTGAATGCAGGTGTTTAAAGACAAGAAACGATAATAAATGTATGGTGTTTCTTTGGTTTCTCTTATTTCTTCTAGAAGAGTAACATTTTCATTCAGTTCAGCTGACTGCAAACATGGATCAATCACTCTCTTTTGCATGCAACATCCCTGGCATCTGTAACAAGAAGCATTCAAACCTCAGCCAAGTACCGTATGCTGACTGTGAGGAAAAGTCTCTCATTACCAGCAAAGAAAACATATTACACATCAAACAAAAATTTCTCCCTCAGAACTTTATCTTAAGCAAAAGAATAAACTGAACAGGGATTCACACAAATCATATTCCTGCTGCTCCTGCTTGTAACACTCTCTAATTGCATGGAGCCCTCCAATGAAATCCATGCTTCCTTTGAAAACATAAGCACATGGGGATTTTTGTTTCTCCTAAATACTGTATTACCAGTTTGCACAGTCAGTGGTCCCTGAGCTGAAAGAATCTAAACCCATATGTCTTCTGGGCTCTTCAGCCACTATCATTTCATAAACCTACTGAAGTACCACGGTTTTTTTAATACTTTCCAAGCCATTTCTGTTGTCATTCTTATGTGCCCAACATTTCAGATGTCTGGGAAAATCAAGCACAAGTAGTTAACACTCTACCAAAATAAACTGAATGAAGTTAAGAAAATCACAATTCCCTTCTTTTTAAATAAAATTACCCATTTCTGAGGCTCCAATAGCAGAAATGAAGCCTCAATCACTTAAGCCAGAAAAGAAGTGAAAGAGTCAGATGCCACAGGGGAGGTGGAGCTCTCCTTCCATTGCCTGGTGATATGAGGAAACCCATTCCTTTGTGTTACAAGGCACCTATAGTGTGACTACATAAATCTCAAGTCCAAACTCAAAAGTATTCACTTCCTGTAAGCAAGTATGAATATCCTCACAGAGGTGCTTCAATGACTGTCTTACTTCCTGGTTTAGTCAAGAATTTTTCCTCTCAGGAAGAGGTTGTCAAAATACCAGCTACCAGGTTTTCTTTCTTCCTACAGAAAGGAGAACTGACTTCAGGACATCCTATCATAGCTTATCTAACGAACTTTGAATTCAACCTGGTACAACTTTGTCCAAGCTGGTTGATCAGTTACATGACTATTCTGCTAAAAGATGTGTACAGTGGGATCATGACCAATACCTTAGGTTTACATTTTCTCCATGGTGAACACTACAACACCACATCTTGCATAACTAAGTATATTTCAAAATTCGCTTAGGAAACGCTGAGATACAAAAACTTCTGCACGTATCATACCCAGTGTAAGAAAACAAACTCCAAATTTTAGCTCCCAAAAACCCATATTAAATATACCTAAAAAAAAAAGGCTTTTTGACTTCAGCTAAAATGGTGGAAGAAAATGAAGTTGGTTTGCTGTTGCAAAGCTTAGTGTTGAAGTAAAATGGTGTTTTCATTAGTTCTGTAGCAAGATCAATACATTAATTCTCATTTAAAACCTAGTCCCGAACTTGAAATCTGTTACCCACAGTTAAATATATAAATTTAATATTGATTCATCTTATTATTGGGGTAAGCTACAACTGAACTATTAAGTTCTCAGAGGCGTGGTATCCATGAGGATGTTTGCTTCAAACAGCTGCCTGACAGAAGCCAGATTATCAAGTAAACAAATATTGATTCCAAACTGAAGGAATACAGCAAACTACAACGATACATAGGAAAATTAATTATATCCCATGGCTGGATACCCAGAATTGGGCAACTGCTGGGTGGAATATTACTGACTCATAGAATGGTTTGGGTTGGATAGGACCTCAAGATCATCCTGTTCCAACCCCCTGCTATGGGTAGGGATGCCTCACACCAGACTATGTTGCCCAAGGCTATGTTCAACTTGGCCTTGAACTCTGCCAGGGATGGAGCATTTACCACTTCTCTGGGCAGCCTGTGCCAGTGGCTCACCACTCTCCCAGTAAAGAACTTCTTCCTTATATCTAATCTCAACTTCCCCTGATGAAGTTTAAACCCATCAGCTCTTGTCCTACCGCTACAGTACACAACTTGTGACAATGCATTAAATTATCACGTAGCTTTTTAATATGAAATCATGAAATAAAAGCTCCCTGGACAACTTGTAGCCTGTTACATGAAACTGCACAAAGTTAACTCTGTGGTATCCTGGGACTACAGTAATATACATAATGTATCTTAGTAAGTCATAAAGAAATATAAAGCAATTGTCCATGGATAAAAACCACTACACCTCAACTGAAGTAATCCAGATGATAATTCCCATTAGCTGCAAGTGCTTACCTAGACCTCAGGAAGAAAAGGTAAAAAGACCCTCAGATTTAAACACATTTAAAATGTGTTTTTATCAAATCATTATCGAAGTCAGTAAAAAAGATGTAAACAAATGTCAAACTAAAAGTTTATGACAACTTGAAAGAACTCGGAAATTTTGCACATTCTCATTAATAGTTTTAGTTTTAGTTGAGCAAAATAGTTTTAGTTGAGCAAAATACACATACTGCACGGTCATTGAAAAAAGCAGTCATTCCAAAAAAGGACTCAAAAGTCCAATTAATTGCTTTCTTTTAGAAACATGATTAACAACTCTTTTAACTTTTGTAGGACAGTTTCCAGAGAAGTGAAATGGCACCATCTAGTGACTGACAGATGAGACAATCAAGTCAGGAAAGCAGTCACTTTTTTTGCTTCCTCACATCCATTCCAGTTTGGAAACAAAAGCAAAAGGAAATGTGAAAATAAACATGAATGCTGGAACACCTCTATGGAACATGGAATTTTAAAGTCAAATAATATCACTCAATGATTATTTTTCTACCAAACTCGGTACCTACAATCGTTAGTTTATTACAATGGTTTTGGAAATGCTTATGATATAAATTTAATGGTCACATACTACTGACTCCAATATCTTCCCAGGAAAGCCAATGCTTCTTAAGCAATGACCACTTCAGCTTATTAAGGAGTTTTCTATCAACTAACGATAACACACAGTCATTTATTAATAAAAATCAAGTAACTCTTCACTGATAAAATCAAGTAAGGCAGCAGCCCCTTCTCTTCAGTTAATAACAACACATCATATTTGCTCAGGCTCCACGATCCTATGTGTAGACGTCCACTGATTCACATTTCCAGCAGATCGCCTCAAAGCTGTCAGCACAGAACACTTCTAAGCTAGTTTTACAGAACTAAACTTTACTGTTCCTGTACAGACTGCCTTTATTTTATAAATCCTTCTAGGAATTCACCCACTAGAAGAACAAAGGCAAAAGCAGAATGTTTGCTGCTTTTTATAGTTTGTCCTCTGTGCTTTTCTTGAAAGAATATATTGAAAAAAACTTTTTCACATTTTTCCCAACAAGAAGCATTATGCCATTTAGAGGACAATGAAGGAGGGCTTTTCCTTTAGGAACTGTTACACAAGAAATGAAAGAGTGAAGGAGGTTGCACAGTGGAGATTCTGTAATCTTCAGACATTTTTTACCCTTGTGCCCTCTTTTGTTCTTTGCTTTCTGTATATAACACAAAGAACAG